ATAGGAATAATTCCTTGAGACTTATGAGTTATCCCTATATCAGGAACCAATGCCAACTTCAACTAAATTCCACTTCTCCAATCAACAATTGGCCTTCTTACAGGTCACAACTAATACTTAGGGGACACATCAACATTAGGGACGTACGTCCTGGTTTGGAACTTTTTTGAACCTTCTTTCTTGTCGAAAGAAACTTCCTTAGGTTTTTCATGTCGGGAAAAATTCTTTGCTAGGTAAGGATTCACCCTCTCTAGCTCTTTAGCTTCTTCTTTATCAAAAACAGAAATGCATATGGGACACAACATGACTTTGGAATCTTTTAACTTACATCGATTTAAAAAGTCAATTAGTTCCTTTTCATCCACGGGATAAACCACCTTTGTTTGATCTTCGTAACTGGCCTCGTTGTCCTTAGCCCTAGCTTTGTCGATGACGTCGACCATCATGACCTATAATAGTTATATGAAGAGATCTTCTTCAACTTTTGTTTTACTATCCCCTTCAGGTTGTGATTTCTATTTGTCAGCAAATTTGGCCCTGCCATCCTTAAAAATATTTTGCACCAGATCCCTAAAAAGGACACATTGAGAAGTTTTATGACCCAAAAAATTAAGAAACTTACAAAAACCCGTTTTCTTCCTTTGTTCTAATGGTGGGGTCTTAAGCCCCTTAGGCACCACAATTTGACCATCAGAAACTAGTAAGTAAAAAAGTTTGTCACACTAGGTGACATCAAAGGTGTAAGTTTTGCTAACAAATTTTTTGTTTTTTGGTTCGACTGGGTTCTTACCATTTGAGGGTTTCACCAGCTTGCATATATAAGGGGTCTTGGTTTTAGTTCCGCCATATTGACCTCTTTTTCCTCGACATATTCATAATCTGAGTCAGACGAGTTTTTTACTTGGTCTACCTCGACGTAAGCCACTTTCTTTTTACTGGACTTAGTGATTTTTCCTTTTTCAGCCCTCAATTGTTTGACTTTTCGAACTCTATTGGCCAATTGGGCCACGTCCCTTAGGTATTTGATATCTAATTACTTTCTGATGAAGTAATCAATATCTCATGCTTCCAGTCGACTACCTCATGTTTCGAAACTTGCGTAAAACACCTCGAATTTAAAGTTCTAAACCTATTTAGGTAATCATATATAATTCCATCCACCTTTCGCCTCACACTGGACATTTCCTTCAGACTAATCTTAGATTGTCCCATATAAAATGTTCGTGGAACACCCTTTCTAACTTGTTCCAAGTGAAAATGGAATTTGGGGGAAGAGTGGTAAACCACGCAAATACATTCTTCATTAATGAGTTAGGGAAATACATGATTTTCAGATATTGATTATTGGATAAATCACCAGCCTCGGCTGATACCTGGCTACATGTTCGACGGTGGATTCACTAGTGTCATTGGAAAACTTTGTAAATTTCAAGATTTTCCAGCCCCTAGGCAGCTCTGTTTGCCTCACATACTCTGATAATAGCCATTCTAGACCAAAATGTGTTCAACTGCATTAGTGATGTTATCTTGCCCCCCAAAGTTATCCTATCAAACTTGTCTAAGAACTTGGTCAGTGTCTTGGTTCCGTTGAACCAGGACCATATCAAGGCTATTTGGCTCTTGGTTTTTCTAGGAAACCCTAACCTCTGGAGGATTAGCAATTGGATGAATGTTAGACACTAGGGTTGGAGACGTTTGTGGTGCACCAAAAAAGTCAGCAATTCAGTCTATTTGGTTGGCCAATTGTTGATAACTCTGATTTGTGTTTTCTGTCAACGAGTTAAATATAGTGTTTATCTGCTACATAAGCATATGGACCATACCATGGTTACTCTCGTCTATTTGTTGCCTCATAAACTAAAGAGAATTGTTGGTCAATGACGACATGCATGAGGGGGAGGGGGAAATATCCCATACCTCTGGTGGTTGTCCTAGTCGACCAAAGTTGTCTATAGTGGATGCCGAGGACGAATATGGATTAAATGACGATGACGTTACCATCACTTTTTTGAATATATTGACGTACTAGGGTGTATACCTACCATTATCGGGGTTGGCATTGCCATACTGCTGCTCTTTCTAGAGCAGCGTGAATCTTAGAAAATGAGGCCTTTGGTCTCCTACATTCTATAACTTCCTAGAAAAAGTCGGTGTGTATGACGCTTATGGAGATGATATCCCCACATCCGGTGGTACAATCGACGTGACTATTTATCTTATGATTGTGGTCATTTCATCAACCAATGTTGGAGGACCAGAACTTCCAATACTCGTCGCTACTAGTTGTTTCATGGGGTTGGTGCATTATTTTATGGAGGGAGGGGGTTGATTTCTATTAGACATATCTAGAATTTTTCTACCACTCCTAAAAAACATGCACTCAAAAACTCATAATGTTTGTGTGGAGAAACAATGCAAAGAAAATACGTAAGACGCCTCTTTTCTGTAAAAATGTTTTAAACTATTCACACAAAAGGGTTCCGCCGAGTGCACCAATTTATTTACTGGTGTTTTTGATAACCAATCACGAGTTTGAAAAGCTAGTGAGATTAACTCGAAAAATCTCCACAGTAATTTGTGCAAATGATTTATATGAAAAAACGTGCGCGTAAATTAATTGCAGCCATTCTCTGGACGACAACGACATAAAGAATAAACTTTAATGAAGACAAGTTGTAGTAAATGACAAGATAAAGTGTTGTAAATAACATTAAATAAAGGTGAAGATAAAGACCGAAAAAGGTAAATGTTTCTCACAAACTATTTTTCTCTTTGACTCGGGTACTCTAGTTGTATGGAGAGAATGTATGAAATTTTACAATATTTGTTACAATGTATGAGTTTTCTATTTATTCATTTTACAATTAATCGTCAACGACGGTCCTAACCACTAGAGGACTGCTTCATTTCACTCTACGTTCAATCTTCAGGTTTCCACTAGTGGGCTTTGGAGTCACCACGATTTTACTGTCTTGTTGATCATCCACATTGAGATAATTACTTCAACTTCCCCACAAATTCTTGATGATAACTGTCAAAATCGTCGACATCATCTATGTTTGATACTTAGATTCTGGAGAATTCGTTAAGTCCTGAAACCCTTCGTAGCTATTGACTATCCTTCCTGCCGACACAATTTATGTCGACTGTCCTTCAAGACTTTGGATATGTTTCCAAGTGATCTGAATCTTGTGGATTTGTTGTGATTCTTTCAAACTATAACTACCACGTCAGTTGGCTCCCTGGTTGACACTCTCGCGACGCTGGATAATTAAAGCTTTAAGACACTTGACATTAATGTCTCTAAATACTTAGTTTAGTGTTCCTAAACACTTCATTAATGTCTCACAATCCTGAATGTCCCTTCATTGTGACATTCTTCGTTGACTTTCTTTTAACTAAAAATCTTAGTGTAATAGTAATAGAAAAAATAAATGTTTTTAAACGCACCGTCACTAATCAATTAATAGACCTATCAATCGATTATTAGCCTTACAAAAGTGATAACCAACTAACCCTAGTGAATTAATTGATTATGTCATGTAAAAGAAACCTTCAAATTGATTAGAATGAATCTCTAACCCATTATTTAGGCACAACAATATTTTCTTATTATTTTAATAAAATTAGAGAGACTCCCTTTAGATTGTGTAAAACTCTTAAATATATATATATATATATATATATATATATATATATATATATATATATATATATATATATATATATATATATATATATATATATATATATATATATATATATATATATATATATATATATATATATATATATATATATATATATATATATATATATATATATATATATATATATATATATATATATATATATATATATATATATATATATATATATATATATATATATATATATATATATGGTTAAAACCATTAACAAGTAGTTGCCTTATAACCCAAGCAACTAGTGTCTCAGTGAATGTGTGTGTGAGGTGTGAGTGAGAAAGAGAGATATGTTTTTTTATGAGAAATGTTAACTAGTGTCCTAAGAACACTTTTAATGCTTAAAATAGTAAAGTTTTTTAGAAATACATGAATAATACTCTCAGGATACTCGTTAGCATAACCCATTTTTTATTATAAATAATATTTAAGAAAGTTCTTATATTTTATCATATGTAAAATTGATAACTTCGAATTTAAAATGTCAACACAAATAACTCATTGTTTGAAATACTTATACATCAGTTGAAATGCTTTTTTTATACCCAAATTCGAATACTTGGTATAACACGAAATTAACTAGGAAAATTATCAATTATTAATTCAAATGGAAGTTGTCAAACAATCTAAGAAGAATCTTATGTAAGAAGTTTCTACAAGATAATTAAAGGGTGGTAACGCGCCAATCGGCGAGAGAGATGGAGGAAGATAGAGGGACAGGGACAGAGGGAGAGAGTGAGTAAACCAGTAAAGTTAGTTATTAAGTAACTAATTCCTAACCACCAAACACCAAACTAACAAAGCTAATGTTAAACATATACAACATGTGGTGACGTTACAATTTTATTTTGGTCCCTCAATCTTCCATATTTCATCATCCCTGCAGCTGCTACACACCCATGCACGCCTCAACATAGCCCGACAAACTAAAACCAAACATGGAGTCTTACAACCATTGTTCTCTATTGAGCACTAGCTATCACGCTCAATAGAGAACATGTCTCGCCGTTCGCAAGACTCGTCTTTATAGTCAATTACATCCCGACAAAGTCACTTCATCGCTCTCAGCACTAGTGACTATTCAACTCCAATAATACCTCATGTTAAACTTGAGTTGTTTTTACAGTACATAGAAAAGAAGCCAAAAGTTCTCTCAAATAATACCTATCAACATTTTAAGTAACAAGAGCCATTTTCTCGAGAAAGTATGTTCAATTTAATACACCATGGAGAAAATGCTACATTACAAAATTTGAGAGAAAATCATCCACTACTTTAGTATAAACTTTTCTTACATTAGCATACTGGTAGTGCCTCCCTAAATGCAATGCTTAAACTACGGCTACCCTTTCGACCCCTCTTACCGATTTCTGCATTCCCTCTCTGCATCATAGCCACAAATTCATTGTAGTCTATTCGTCCATCCTGAAAAACCAAACCATGCATAACAAAGTTTTATTAAAAGGGACAAAAAAAAGTTATTATCAATCCACATTTAGAATCCGGTTATGAGAATACACTCACATTATTCTGGTCAGCTTCTCGGATCATTTCCTCCAAGCCAACGTCGCCTAGGCCAAATTCTTCACAAGCTTTTTGAAGCTCATCTCTAGTGATGTATCCGCTTCCATCTTTATCGAAATATGAGAATGCGGCAACTAAATGATCTTCCCTATCAACTTTGTTTAAATGCAATGTTGCAGCTATGAATTCTCCATAGTCAATTGTACCACTATTATCAACATCTGCCTGAAATCCGAAACGATTGGAATGATGCGTCAAATTAATATATGACTAACTCATACCTGTTAGCACATGTTTAAGAGACTTGATTTTCTACCAAACGCGTGACACAGTGTCGGCTTAGATATTCTATATATTGACAATGCAATTGTGTTCTATATAATTGGCATCATAACGGAAGTGTAATTCTGAACTAATACTTACAGATTGCATTAGATCGTAAATTTCAGATTCATTGAGATTGGCACCAAATTTTTTCAGTCCAACTTTGAGTTCTTCAAATGTAATGTAACCACTATTGTCCGTATCGATCATCTTAAACATTTCTTTCAAACCAGCAATTTCTTCTTCTGAGAGATTCTCTGCAATAACCTGCACAGAACAGCATAAGCATTTACAATGTGACAATCCGAGTAAACGTAAAAAATATGTTGTAATGAGTTATGTGACAGAAAATATAACTTACTCTAAGAGCCATTTTCTTGAGCTTGTTCATTGCAGTAAAACTGTTTCATGCGACTCAAAACTGCAGAATCAAGAGGCTTGTCTGGTGCTGCTCCATCAACCTGAATCCAGGGGTGACCTGCAAAGAATCAGATCATCATCAAATCATTAACAATGTAGTAAGAAACCTCAAGTTCAACGATGTTATAATGATTTGTATTCATTATATTTCATTCACTGAATCCTGCCTCATAATTTTTGTCTCACTAATATTGATCTCAATGAGATGACAGTGGAGAAACTTACGAAGAACGTCAAAAGCTGATAACCGTTTACTAGGATCTCTAACAAGCATCTTCTTAACCAAGTCTTTTGCACTTTCAGATATACCAGGCCATGGATCTGATGCGAAATCAAGATCACTATGCAAAATGGCCTCAAATATCTCCTGCTCCGATTCTATTTCAAAGGATCAAGATAAATGTTAAAATTTTGTGGAATTAGGAAACATAGATTAAGAAAATGGCTATATGAGAATATAGTGAGTTTGATGTCTTGAGAACACTTACCACCCCAAAATGGAGGCACCCCACATAAGAGAATGTACAAGATCACACCGGCGCTCCAAACATCTGCTTCTGGGCCATATCGCTTGCGTAAAACTTCAGGTGCAACATAATATGGACTACCTACTACATCATTGAAAATGTCACCTGTAAAACATAACGCAGAAATTAACTTCATGTAAAGTCAAATGAATTATGGGTCACTTTGTTTTAGCTTTAAAAAAATAGATTTTGGATAAACCTGGTTTAAAAAATGCAGATAGTCCAAAATCTATTGCCTTAAGAGGAGAATCTTCTTGCTGATTAACAAAAAGAAAATTCTCCGGCTTAAGATCACGATGCATTACTCCGAGAGAATGACATGACTGAATAACACCAACAATAGTCCTTGCAAGTTTAGCGGCTTTTCTCTCCGTATAATGCCCTCTTTCCACAATCCTATCGAAAAGCTCACCACCCGAACACAACTCCATAACAACATGAACAGCAACAGCATCTTCAGAAGCTTCTTTAATCGAAACTATGCTTGGACTCCCAGCCAAGTGATGCATAATCTGAATCTCTCTCCTCACATCTTCCACATCCTCATCTGTCAACAACTTCCTCTTCAAGATAGATTTACACGCATACTCTTTCCCAGTTGCCTTCTCCACACAAAGAAACGTTGTTCCGAATTGCCCTTGTCCAAGCTTTTTTCCCAAATTATAAAACTCCTTAAGACTAACCGTTTTTCGCTGCAAAACTGAATCTGCTTTGAGTCCTGCACTTGCTAGTCTCTTCACATTTTGAGGTCTCTTTTGTTTTGCAGGTGTAGCAACACCACCTTCATTCGTTTGCGGCTTTTGTTGCTGCGATGGCTTTACATCCTCATTCTCAATCTTCACTACCTGTGGTGCCTTGTTTTGAACAGTTTCTATAGCTTTTGTTGGACTGGTTTTGTGTGCATCAGATGTATCTTTCTTCCTTCCACCACGCGGCCAGCAAGAAGGACTTGGAAGAGCTGAGGGTGATGACAAATCCTTTGATTGCGAGGTTCCCGAACCAACACAGTTGTTTCCCATCTAACACTAATTACCTCCTATCTCAATCATCATTCCTTGTTCGTGTCGTGAAAAATGACCATACCAAAGTCTATCCTATTAGGTGTCCGTGTCAGAGTCTGTCCTATCATGTGTCTGTGTCCTGTAACGTGTCCGTCTCAGGGTCTATGATTCATTAAAAAAGAAATATGTGAAAAAAATAGAAAGAAAAAAAATGTGTGATTACCTTTGATCATAAGGTTGATGGTGCAATGCAATTGATATAGTGCAACATGAACATGCAAGTATATGGTATAAAAGATTTTGGAGGATTTGAAGAATGTTGAAATTATTATAGGTGGAAAAAAATTAACGTGAAAAACCCAATGTTGTACCAAATTCAATGAACCCTAAGGGGAAAAATTTGGTGTTTGATTCTAAAGATTTTATTTGAAGAAAGGGGAATGGAAATGAATCTCAACGTGACAGAAATCACGTTGAAAAATGGAAGAGAGAGATAAAAGACAGAAAGTTATGTCGTTTTTTCTGTTGCAAAGAATGTTGGAGAAAACGCGTGAACAAAACATTTGGGAAATTGAACGGTTGAGATGGAGGGTACAAATGGAATGGAGGGTTGAGATTTGATTTTGTTGGTGATCTGGTTATTTGTTGGAATCTACGTGCAATGCAATCCCCATGTTCACTCCGACGTGCTTAACAGCCGGCTGCCGGCTTTTGCCGGTGATTTTTTATTCTCTTGTGTGTATATTTTACTATTTTAGTATATTTAGGATTTGATTAATATTTTTAGATAATTTTGATTAAATGAATTAAAATTTAATTTAATGGAAATGATAATAATATACTCCATCTTTTTACTATTATAAACGAAAAATAAGATTTAAAACTTGATCACTATAACTAAAAGTTAACGTTGTACAAAAAGATATATTAAAAGTTAATCATTTTTAAACTATTTAATATTATTTTAATATACTATTTAATTCAAAAACATGCAATATAAAGTTAGTTGATCAATTAAATATAAAATAATATTTTACTAAATTTAATTTTTGTTTTTAATATACTAGTAGGCACGATATTGAGAGTCATATCGAAAGATGACAAACGGACATGTCTATTCTATTTAGCTCTGCATCGCAAAAGCTTACAAAAAGTGGAGCGGAACAGACGGGCATACTGAAGAATGCGGGTCTAAAATATTGACACACCTCGTATTACAAGTGAGGGTGGGGCAAGCGGGTCAGCGAGAACTGCTCTTTTTAGGCCTAAAAATATAAAAAATAGAGCGAGGAGGAGCGGGGGAGGAGCGGGACAAACACATTAAAGGGTGTAGGCATAAACCCTTGTCCCGTTATGCACTAAAATGAGAGCAAAACTGACATGCCCAACGGGCCGAATCCGTTTTACTACTGTAACATCCCAATTTAGATTATCTTATTTATATTATTTATGAATTTTGTGTGTTTATTTAATTATTATGTGGTGATAATTAAATTGATTTGGATGGTAGGTGTGTGATCTTGAGAGGAGAGTGTAGAGACCAATTAGAATTGATAAATTTATTTAGAATAGGGAAAATTATGAGGAGGAAGAAGCAAGAAGTATGTAAGTTTGGGTTAAATGGGTATTTTTGAGAAGACTTAACCTAAATATAAATTTAGGAGATATACTTAGACTTGGGGGATTTGTTGTTAGTTCGTAGAAACTTTGTTTTAGAGAAAATATGCAAAGGTTAGTAGTAGAAGGTTGGAGCTTGAAGAAGAAAAACAACACCCAAGTTAGAGAATCAATTTGCTTGCTAGGAATAAGGTAAGGGGGAGAATAACTTTAATAAAGGGTATATGCATGAAGGATAAGATAAATGAGTCTTTAACCTCCAATAGGTTGACATGCATGTATATGTTTTGTTGTTTTATTGTGTGAATCCGATAAATTATGATTCATTGGTGTTATAATCTATTTTGAATGACGAAATTTGTGTACCCTTTTTCATAAAAATATGTCATGTTTATGTTTTGATGAATTGGAATGATGAACACGAATTTGTATTGTTTAATCCATGAATGTTTTGATTAAATTGTTCTTATAGATGTATATAGATGTGTTGTTATGTGTTTGGATCGAAAATCATGTCTGTAATCGAATTTGGGGGCTTGGGATTGGATTTTGTAGTTATGGACTAAACTCCATGGTATAAATCATCGATTCTGCTTCTGGTTCAGGGTGACGGGTGTA